AGTATGTAATTACTGATTATATAAATCAGTAGCTATAATAAGTATGTATTAAATAGTATAATTAGACTATTAAATACAGAGATAGATCTATTCTTCCAGGCTATAAAACAGTTATACATAGCCTGTATCATCTCAGTAGCTGATTATGAAGGTCAAGTTTAATAAAATAATCTAATAAATTTCACTGAACTCTTTCAAAGTCTGTACAACAGAGTTTTGAAAAAAATTCTAGAAGTATTCAAATTATCTTCTATTAAAGTAATAAAAATTGAAGCATTAATTTCTTTATCTGAAATTAGATTTAAAAAGACCTGTATAAACTATACTCTGAGAGTTATAAAAATAAGCTTAAATTATATAATTAGAAAAAGAGTTTCTGTAGAATAGTTAAAGATTGTATTGATAGATCTATCTACAAGAACATAATATAGTAATGAGTCACGTGATCTAATGAGATCACTAACCGCAATGACTGTAACAGTCAACACCTTCTCTCAAGATAATAAGAATTATATATAAAAACACTCAAATTATCAAGACAGTCTGTCAAAATTAAATACAAATGTAAAATTAAACATTCTCAACTTTTACATCTGTAAGACCTAGTAAAATCATGAATCATGCAAATATCACAGTATTTAGAGATTTAGTAAGTTCATTCACTGCTATCTGAGTGATGAGAATGTATTTTAAATCAATGATTCTCTGATTTAACTGTTAATATGAAAAATGAAAATGTGTGTCAATATGCTTGTTTCAGACTGTAATAACTGTCATCTTTGTAAGATTTATGACACTCTTAGTATCAGTGAGAATCTGTATCAGAGATGTAGTAATAAAGTCAAGCTCAATCATGAGATTCTGAATTCATGTTGCTTCACAGACTGCCTTACTAAGAGTCATATATTCAGTCTCATTGAAACTTAGAGATATACAAGGTTGCTTTACTAAATGCTATGAAATCAGATCATCTGCAAGCTTAAAAATGTAGCTGAATGTTGATTTCCTACTATTATTGAAGAGGCCAGCTCAATCAGAATCCGAGTAGCTGAAGGGTAGATAGAAATCATCAGAGAAATCAGGGAAAATGAACCTCTTATACAGACTGTGTCTGTAGAAAATGCCCAGATTCATGATCTCTTTTAAATAATATATAATATGTAACAGAGTCTTTCAATATTGAGATGTTGAATCAATGTTCTGTTAAGTGAGTAGTGAGACAGTGTGAGTGATATCAGAACATGTTTTAACTATAAGATATTGCAAGTAACTTATATCATGGATATCACTGAATTATGAAACCAGTCTCTTTCTCTAGTATAGGGAAATCATCAATATGAAATTCATTCTTTATTAATATTTTGATAACAGCTGTATCATCAAGATAGAAATCTTTATCAAGACATTTAATATATTAACAATATGTTAAATCAATTTCTTTGTCTGAATAATTGACTTTCATACTCAAATACTTGATTGACTGATGTAGATTCTTGACTTTCAATTTCCCACTGAGTATACTCACTAGTTAATCAGCATTCTCAGGAACTTTGAATATGATATTAAGATCATCAATGTAGATTATTATATAGAGATGACATCTGAATATATGATATTAGAGTGCCAGATTATTGACACTGACTGCAAATTCAAGATCACTCAGTAGAGCTGTTAAGTAATTTATATCAGATCATCACTGCAGGGTTCAGACTGTATAGACTACTCTTAATCACACAGACAAGTGTTTTCAGTGAATCTGTCTCAAATCTGATGAGTTGTCTTATATAGATCTTCTTAGTGAGGCACTCATACAGATATATCATTACTATATTCACTTAACAGAATGTTCAACTGTGTAGTACTGCTATTGCAAAAAGAATACAATTGACAGTATCAGTGATGACAGAAGTGTAGATCTCTTCTCTAGAACTCTTCTTAAGCTAGTTATTATAAATCACTCAATATAATTTTCTAAGAATATTATCAGAATCAGTATTCAGATCTGTGAGTCTATCTTTTTCAAGAAACACTTAACAGTCTGAAGTAATCAGTTCATTTCTCAGAACATCAGATCTAGAAATCAAACTTCATATATTATGTCTCTTCAGATCAGTAATCTCATGTTGTATGAACTTCTTTTAATAATCTTCTACTCTCTCTAACTGAGATGTGACATTCTTGTAGAACTTCAGAAGATTATCTGTAGCAGAGCTTGAAGTATAAGTAGTCAGTAATTTTATGAGCTGCAATTCTGTAGAATTCAGATTATCAATATCAGAAGCATCTTCATCATTAATCAGATGAATATCAGGTTTCAGTTTACTAACATGATAAATGAGTGTCACAGATATAACAACTGATTCTGATTTTTCAGTGATTGAGAACCTCACATTGCTACTGACAATAATCTTATCAGATTCAGAATGTCATAGGTAATATATCAATGTGCTACTGAATTCAATGATATAATAGAAATCAGCATGTGAAGAAAGCTTATTCACAGGCTTCTGAGATTCATGCAAGTGAATAAAAATCTCTGCACTCAATTGATGAAAATGTCTCATATTCAGTGAAGTATTTGTAAGTGCATATTAAGGAATCTTATATGAACTTGGAATCACAGAAGTCTCTGTGATAGAGAATCAAAATTTCAAGTTATAAAGAACTGTAGATGTGAGAGTATTATTAATTATTATAAGCACTGTCTCTAAATCATCTAGTCAGAACTTCTTAGAAAGATTATCTTTCAAAAGAACAGCTTTAATCTGTCTCATAATAGTGTGAATTTCATGTTCAGAAACATCATTCTGATGTGATGAATATGACGTTATTAGTTCTCATTTGATACTATATGAATTCATGACTGTGTGTATATGTGTAAATTGAAAAACATCATCAATATCAGTCTGTAGAAAAGCAGGGGCTGTATACCTGAGATTACTCATGAATCTGAGCCACAACTCAAAGTATTGAACAGCCTTATTCTTGAATCTCAAAAAATATACTCAATGATAGCAAGTTGCATTATAGATGATAAGTATTCAGTATTTAATTCTCTGGCGGGACTCTAAGAAGTGGTCAGAGAGTTCTTTCAATGTATGTTCACTGCCTGAAAGGTTAATATGAATCTTCTCAATAAGTTGAATAGATCTAGACATTGATGTTTTTGAATAATCTTGTATTATACCTGTCTTGATATATTCTTCACAAAAGAACTTGATCTTAGAATCTTTAATTATGACTTCAGTATGAGAAATCTTGACCATAACAATTATAACATCAGTGTGAATATGACTGAGATTGTAGTATCAATTCAAAAGAGTCTTTGATATCTTTGATGTCTGTGTTTTCACATCTGCAGAATCAATGTTATTAACAGTAGTGACAGCAGCCACAGAAAAATCAACTTTTCAGTCAAAATTGTACTCATGAGGCATTGTGATATACTTGACTACCTTGTTCAGATAATTGAAATTCTCATTGAACTTCTGTTTGTTGATCTTATATATATTGTTCTGAGCGGTCTGAACTGTATGAAAAATGACATTATTCAGAGCTCTGCAAATGAAAAATGAGAGAATAGTAAAAGATAATGTAAATTGAAATCCCTGATCTTCAAGCTTTGTAAATGAGAGCAGATTAACTGTAATATTAGAAATATAGTGAACATTCTGTAAGTTAACATTATCACTCTCAATCTTTAAGATAACAGTCTTAATCTTCTTAACAAACTCAGTTCTCTCAGTTGCAGAATTGACAGAGATGTTATCATTAAAAGATTTGATATTTGAAAAAGAATGAAGCTCACTCATCATATTCAGACTTGTACATGTATTCAAATATCAAGATCTAGAGAATGGTTTTTCAGTGACTGTGAAAGAGAAATAGAACTTAATCTTTATAATTACTGTATTTATCACTGATTGAGAACTTATCAAGTCATTCTTCTTCTCTTTCTTCTTATCATCATTCTTCTTGTCCATCTTCTTTTTCTTTTTATCAGAGTGTAAGATAAAACACCTGTCAACAGTATATTCATATCTTCTGCAGTGAGTGTACTTTCATACAGTTGTGCTTTTATTCTCATCTTTGTTCTTGTTCTTGTTCTTTTTCACAGTCACAGAATTAGTCTGAGACTGCTTTTTTCACTTAATGATGATCTTCTTGAATGTATGATTGATCAGTTGCTTTATCAAATCATTAATATCAATATTAACAATGAGTTCTTAGTCAGTGGAGAAAAACTCATTCAAACATGTCTTAACAAATGATCTTTGATAATCTTGCAGATTGTTGAGAAAAAGATCATGATATACATCTTCAGTGCTCTGACAGAGCTTCTTGTAACAGATAATAAGATAGTGAAAATATCTCTGAAAAGTAAGATAGTCACTATTCTTGACTTATAATTTTATTAATTTCTTGAAGATATTAACTTGTTCTTCAGTCAGTGATATTATATATTCAATATTAATCTTGTCTCACAGAGCTGCAGTATTGTCAGCTTTCAAGGTTTCAATAGTGATTTGAATATTTTTAACAAGACTTGATAGCATATATCTATATAGAGACTTGAAACAGATCTTTCACTTCTCAGAATTGATATAATGTGTAAAAGAGAATTCTTGTTAAGTTCTCAATAGAATGTTGATTTCATCAATAACTTTCACATCAGTTAATATATCAATATGCCAGACTTCATAATTAGAGTCATTAAATATGATCACTGATTTAATATCTAGTATATATTTCACTTTCTTCTGATATTTTCACAACTCATTTCTTGTAGTGTCTCTTTGTGCAGAGACAGATATAGTGAGATATTGAGTGATTTCAGCTGCAGTCATTTGATTCTATAGTATTATCTGTATAAGATTCATAAGATTGCCTGCAGTGCAATAGATAGATTGATTCAGATCATCATTAAAAATCAGCATTTCAGAGATGAGAGATAGTGAAGAATTTAATAAGTTGAAATAAACAGATTCTGTAGATGAATATTAACTCTGCTTTTCTTTATTCTGAAGTTTCTCTGTTGTCTCATCATCAAATTCTGTACTCTGGTGAAAACTGATCTCAGTCTCATCTTGCAAGTCAGAAGCCTTCTCATAATGAGTGAGCATTCTATCAATAAGTTGTCTAGTGAATTGTGTGATTCTGAGCCTTGAGCTGAACTCTGAAGTAACAGATGTATCACTCATATCAAGATAGCTCTGCTTCTTCTAGATATGTAAAAAAAAAAAAATAATCTTCACAATGAGAAACACACTTTCTTAAAAATATAAAGTATATGAATCTGCTGATCAGCAGATTCAGGGAAAATGAAATATCTTCAATAAAGAGTGAGAGTCTTTTCAAAAAAGATGAACTATCTGTGTCAAAAATGTTGATACAATATTCTAAAAAGAAAAATGTGTCATTCAGACTATAATCTGTAGAATAGTTGAAGATTGTATTGATAGATCTATCTACAAGAACATAATATAGTGGTGGGTCACGTGATCTAGTGGGATCGCTAACCGCAATGGCCGTAACAGTCAACAGTTTCTTCTTTATTTTCATTAATTAACTCAGAAGATGAACTGAATTAAAATAGATTTCTTAATCAAAATGAAAACAATTCTTTACAGAAAATGCTCTCTTAACTATACAGACTATATTCATTAATTAAGAATTAATTTTCTTTATTAAATGTTAAGAAAATTGATTATGAGAAAATATCTCTCTGAAGAGAAAAGCTGAAATCTCTCATAGACTTGTAAAGAAGTAAACTATTTAAAGAGAGAGAATATAAACAGTATTTAAAAAAGATCTCTACAATTAATATAAAAGACTCAATTCTGATTTACTCAGATAACTTAAAAAATGAGAATTTGAACAGAGTAGATACAGGTATTACTTATATTAAAGATAATATCAATTTTATCTCAGGTTTCTGAAATTTAGACTGTGATTCAAAGGTTGCTTAAGTCAGTGTATGATTACAGATATACGCCGGCTTCTTATATATATTATACTAAATTAATTAGTGGCTGCTATGATCTCTTTACATTCATAAGCATGTTCATAAGTGACTGTGTTATTATTCAGCAGTTATACATTTTTCTGAACTATATTCTCTCTTATCAGATTCAGTCACACTCATGTAACTCTGATATAAGCTGCTCTCAGAGAAGCTTTCACTATTTTACATCACTTATTCACTAATATTTTCATTCTTCAATTATCATCTCTGTTATTATCATTATTATATGTTATTATCTTGTACAAGATTTCTGCATCTTATCTCTTTTATCAAGCTCTTTTCAATCTGTTCATCTATTACATTATATGCATTTCTGATGATGACTCTCTGTTCTTATAATAAGTATTATCATAGTACTCATATCAGGTAGTTTATTAGCAGTAAGTGAAACATATTATGAAATATAACCTGAACTTGTTTTTGTAATTCAAAGATTGCTTGAGTCAGTATATAATTACAGATGTATGCTAACTTCTTATATATATTATACTAAATTAATTAGTGACTGCTATGACCTCTTTACATTTATAAGCATGTTCAGAAGCAGCTGTATTATTATTCAGTGATTATACATTCTTTTAAATTACATTCTTTCTCATCAGATTTAGTCATACTTATATAATTATAATATAAGCTCTAGCTTCATGCGGATTAGTACACTGCTAGTATTCACAATCATGCAGTCTATCTCTGATCTAGCTAGTATTCTTCTTACACTCTTACAAAGAAACTTTCACTATATTATATTACTCATTCACTAACTTTTTTCATTCTTTAATCATCTTTTTCATCATTATCATCATTGAATATTATTATCTTATTCAAGATTTCTACTTCTTCTTCTATTTAACATCTTTTATTCATTTATCTATTACATCATACATGTTTCTGATAATGACTCTCTGTTTTCATAACAAGTATTATCATAGTACTCATACTGAGCAGTTTATTAGTAGTAAGTGTAATATGTTATGAAACATAATCAGAACTTGTTTTCTTCTAATGATTATCAGAATATATTATTATGAATAATATATCTTCTTCATCTTCTTATACACTCTTAACTGTTTTTCTTCTCAGTGAGCTTCTGATTGTATTCTCTGACTCAATTTTGCATAAACACAGATACTGATATATTTATTTTTATTTATATAAAATCTTCATGTGTTGACAGATCTGCATTTACTGATAATAGTGAACTCAATGTTAAATTATTGATCAAGAACTTGAAGAATATGATAATAAAGAAATTGCTTATATTATATATAACTGAGTCTCTTATATATCTTTCTACTCTCTCTGTTTCTTTCTCTGTTACTCTCTCTCAATCTTCTACACTTATCTCTGTGTCTGATTCTCTCACTTCTGCTACCTTCATTCTCATGATCTCTACTCTTACTACTTCTACTCTCACTACTTCTGCTCTCTCTGTCTCTGCTACTTCTGCTATTATTATCAGCTCTCTCTGTTTTAAGAAGATATTGCATAGACTTAGTGAATCATGTTTCTTAGTATATACACTTCTGCTTTTTTTACTGATCTTTAGAATAATTTATTGTACAAAGACTATGTATAATATAACTATCTGAAGCTCAGTTGTGAACATTAATTATTATATTCACTTTAAGTATTTATAATAAGATAATCATGTATTTATATCAGAGAATTATTCCTCTTCTTAACAGTGTTAAAAGTGTAAGTCTTTTCTTTTTCATCTTTTCTTCTAATGCTAATTTTTCTAGAAGAAATTATTATAAGTTTTATTATATACAAAGTTATGATGTCTATAAATATCAAGAAACTTTTTACAACTGTTAAATTCAATATTACAGATACATCTGCTCTAATGAATATCTTCAGAATAATTAACTCATATTAGTCTATTCTCTGATATTTATCATTCAACTTCATGATACAGATGAAGAATATCTGTGTTTTCAGAAATGAGAACATGAATATTATACTCTTTTACACCTGTGAATATGAGACTCATATACCTTGTCTGAGATATTATTATGAGAATGAACTGTTTACACACTATGTTCTACTTTCTGTATTTGTATGTATCTTTCTCTCTCTTTCTGAGAAGTCTTATGCATGTTGTAATTACATGTACAACTCTAAGATCAGTGAGTGTTTATTCAGTAACTGTTCTCATCTCTGATTTTATGATTTTTATATACTAATAATGATTCTTAGTTGCTCTGATGCCAGAGATCATTTTAATTAAAGATAATAATACTGCTGAGACTATCTTCTTCTACTCTCAAGCTTCTTCTATTATTTTCTCTCTCTTCTCTGCAGAGAAGGTTGTGTGTACACTGAATTATAAGTGTTCAGCCTCAGATGACTTCTACTGTCATTTATCTGATTCTGTGTCATCTTCTTCAGTTTCTTTCATCTTCATTCTTTCTGCTCTGACTTCTAGTTCTGCAGATCTCATGCTCTTCTTTAATTTTTCTACATGTATGTGTATGCATTTCTATATTAGTATTTCAGTCAATCTTGTGATAAATAACATTAATGTCATATACAGAGTGATAGAGAAATTGAAGACATATACAGTATTATTGTGAGAGCATCTTGTGACTTTTAAATCTCTTATAGATCTTAAGTTTTGAGATTTTCTTTGTTTTTGACATTTTTCAAATAATATGATGTTGAAAATAGATTAAATGTGTAATATATGAAAATAAACGAGATATATATGATAATATTTATCTTTTACAGCTGACTCTTACAGTTGATAATCAATTCATTATTTCTTTTCTTTTCTTATACTTTTTCTTTATCTGCTAGTCACTACTCTTACACAATCTCTATATAATACAGTGTTTAATAACTAGATTCAGCAGCTTTCATCTCTTGTAATTCTGTCTCATATATTATACTGGCTCTCTTCACTCACTCAGATCACTACAGTGAACAGCTTATTGAAACTAATCTTATCTGATCTCTGAGCATTTTCAGAAGTCAAGATGTCTTAATCTCATATATTCACAGATGTTTCAGATACTTCATTCTTCATTATCTCTGTGATTAAACTGATATAAACAGTTGAATTCAACTCTGAATTTCTTTTTCTTCTGTAATATGACTCATATATAAGATTGCTGCTTTGAGACTGCTCTTTATCATGTTACACCTGCTATTCACAGTGCATTATTATACAACTGACTACAGTCTTATCACTTATTAAAGTGTGATATTTATCTGATTTCTTCATTGCTTCTCATTCTTTTCTTATAATTATGAAAAGATTGAAATAAGTGATATCATCTAATTTATAAGTGTCTATGATTTCTCTTACTTTGTGAGACTTTTCAATTATAAGTCTCTTCTTTTTCAACACTAATAATAGTGCTGTGAATAATTATAATTTACTTAGATCTTGTATCTTCATCTCTATAAGACATGAATTATTTATTAAGTTGTATAAGATCTGTCTCTCTGATTCTTTCAATGCATATATTTTCAGAGAATGTGATTTGAGTATTCTATAGAGCTTAAATTATCTAGATTGAAACTTCTCAGAACTCTCATTATGTATAAGAACTTATATTTTCATCTTGACACTTAATTTTCTAACTAGTGAGTCTTATATTCTTTTTAATTGAATTACTCAGTTCAGAAGTAACTTGTTAGCTTTTGCATGTATATAACTGATCTCTTTCAATCTTGATTCTATGTCTGTAACTACTGTGTCTGTGACTGTTGTATCTGCAATTGCTGTTCTCTTTCTCATCTTTTTTAAAACATTCTTCAGAATGCATGAATGCAATTCATAAAACAGGTAGAATGATAAACACTTAGAGACTATATGTTACTGAATCTGTGTGGCTAATAATACCTGTCTGAGATATTCATCTCATAGTCTGATAGGCTTAGTCACTAGATATTTTATCAGTATATTGCTTGACATTTCATTCAAGTATTTTATCTTTCTATTTGTCTATAAGTGATATAATATTGTTCTATAATATCTTGTCTGTAACTGACTCATGAAATGCCTCACTACTTCTTCTATAAGATTCACACTATTATCAGTTAGAATCTCATATGATATTTCATAGTTAATATAGATCTTATTATATAGAAACTTCATTATCATCTTCTTTATTATCTCTGAAACTGCTTTTATAACTGGTCAGTCAGTAGTATAATCAATAGCAGTGATTATTCAACAATTTTCATTTGATATTTATGATAATATGTCTATGAGGTTTATCTCTCATTATTTGAACAGTTATATTGTGTATTTTATCTGATGTTGTACTTTCTCATATTCTAATTCTTTCTTAGATTCTTTTGCAATCTGATAATTTGAGCACTTATAAGTGTATACCTGAATGTTCTCAGCTATGCTTGGCTAATACATTCTTGATTTGAGTATATTCATGAGTTCAGAGCTTTCTAAGTAACTGAATTTCTTATGCATATAAGTTATTAAGTCATGTCTAAATGAATATTTCAGATAGAGAGCTTCTACATATTCTAGATCATAGTAAAGTACAACATCATTTTTCAATTTCCTCAGCTTAAAGTTTGAAAGTATCTTTTCTATCACTTTCACAAGATGCTTGTCATCTGACATCTTACTATTCTTCAAGTGAGAGATTATTGTATTCACTTATTCTGATTTCTTACATTCTCTCAGTATATTTAATATGAACTTTTCTTATACCTGATTTACAGAACTCTCATTCATGAAATCAAGTCTGTGACTGATTGCATCAGATATCACAGTATCTGATTTCTTTCAGTATTTAATATGAAGATTATACACTTGAAACTCTGAGATTCAATATACTAAATATTTGAAAGATTTTATTGTTAATTATAGATAGATAAGACTTTTATAATCTGTGATCACTGTTGTCATATATCTGTTGTCAATATATCTATTTCATAATATCAGTGTATGCTTGATTACTAGTAATTCCTTTTCATACACTGAGTAATTGAGCTCAGTGCCTAGACTGACCGTGCGACCGTGTCTGAGACCAGGACCAGATTTTTTGATAGTCTCATTACCAATTTGACCGATCCCATTACACAGTTTTAACATTAGATAGTAGTCTTATACTGTTTCAGTGAAACTTACTGTCTACTCTTGTCACATTTTTCAAATGAGACCATGATTTTCACTTCTCAATTTAAATTATTTTTATTGCTTTAAATGACTTTAAATCTCATTTAAGCATTATCAAAAAGCGTTACTTTTTAAAAAATTAAAAATAGTCTAAAAAAAACCTTAAAATGTCTAAAAATAGTAACTTTATGTCAAGAATGGGACTAAATGAGACCAAATGAGATCACTTTCTCATTTTTTTCAAGTCATGGTTTCATTTTAAGATCTCATGTATAGTCACTTTGCATGTTTTTTTAATAACTAGTCTCAGCGGGATTCACACCAAGAAATGTATGAGACCAGACCAAATGAGATCAAATGTAAAATTCATGGTCTCAGCGGCCAGTCTATCAGTGCCTGATAGTTTTCTATCATTGTACATTACTAGATGCAGCTTGCTATTCTTACTCATCTGCAGAAGAGTGTCTCTGATAGCTCATTTAGATATATTTATCTTGATATAAAAAGATTTATCATAATCTGATTGAATAAGCACTGGAAATGTTATTATATATTTTCTCAGTCTGAGAAAGATCTCTTTACACATGATATTTCAGATAATTGAATAAAACTTCTTCTTTCACAGATTTGCATCTGTCTCTCTTAAGAGATCTGAGAGTAATGCAGCTATTTATGTGAAATCATTAATAAACCTACAGTAGTATGAGATCAACACAAGAAATTGTTATATATAATGTATGTTTCTCAGCTGTGATTAATTCACTATAACATTTAATTTCTCTGAAATGAGGTATATACAGTTATCACTCATCACATGTCTCATGAACTTCAACTCTTTCATTTTAAATACACACTTGATTGATTTAATATAGAGCTTATACTCTGTCAGAGTTGTAAGCACTTTATCAAGATACTTTAGATATTCATCATATCAGTTTGAGAAAACTAAGATATTATTCAGATATATGAGATACAAGGTTTTATTCTGTTTATGAAGAATTCTATTCATTATTATTTGAAAGATGATAGATACATTTATCAGACTGAATAGTATTATCAGAAATTCAAACTTTTCTCATTATATATTAAACACTGTTTATAGTACTGACAGTTCATCTACACAGATCTGTCAGTATTCTGAGAGAAGATCATTCTTCAATAGATATCAGGTATTTTCAACTGTATTCAACTGTTGATGAATTCATAACAGTGAATATTCATTCTTGATTATAAGCATGTTAAGTGCTTAATAATTGATATATATTCATTACTCTTTATCTGTCTTTTTCATGAATATAACTGAGAAGTCTCACACATTTAATAAGAGTTGTATGAGATTATGTTCTAGAAGGTCTGTCATCTGATACTTCTGTTCTTTGAGATGTGTTTGTGACAGAGAGTATGTATTTTAATTGACTGATTTCATATCTTCTGTGTTGATCTCATGTATGAATTCTTGTTTCAGCAGCAATTCTGATAAGAGATCTGTTTAAATGATCTTTTCATACTTCTTCAGAAGTTTTTTCATATACTTGTTCTTTTGTATATTACTTATCTTGATTTTCTCTGCTTCTGAGTTCTGTATGATATACAGAATACTTTCAGATAAGATCTTGCAAATCATTTCCTTTGCTTATTAATATATAAGCAGATTTAATTCTTCTATATCAGAGATGTAGAATGTTCTTCTTATATCAGTTAATAGAATTGTATGAACTGTTTTCTTTCTATCAGTTAACTGTATATAGTATGTACATCATTGAATCTGTGAATTGAATCTTTGAAATCAATTGAGTCTGAGAATAAGATTGTATTTCATGTTCTACAGCTCTTATACTCAAATATAGCAAGATTATTCTTCAAAGTGTAAGAGAACTCTTACTCTTGTAAGTAACACTAAATATCAGTTATCAGACAATCTTATACATTGAGAATTCTTCACTCAGCAGATCTCTTTCAGTCTTGAGATTATATAATTATTAATATATTATATAGAAGCTTCTGTGTCTGTTAATACTTTTACAGTCATTTCTTAATTCTTATTCAAGTGCTCTCTATATATTAACATTTCAGATCTTAAGACATTGAGATAAGTGTCTGCTTTATTCTTATCTATATCTCAGTCAGAAGTCTGCTTTCTCTTTATATTCACAGAATTCAGTGAGTTATCTAATATAGATATCTTTTTTACTTTAGAGATTTTTTATAGAATATCAGCAAGTGT